TACTTGATATTATCGCAATCCGCCTGGGCCGGTGTCAGGAGTTGTAGAAACAGCCTGCCCATGGCTGCCTTTTCAACGAAAAGTAGCTGGTTAAGGTAAAAACAACAATAAAAAACGCTCCGGGTGATCTTATTCCACGCCTCCTCCACCTGCCCACCCCTGATTGCTACGGTATCAGCTATACATGGATTGAATTCAGATTATTTCCTGTATTGGAGCCCAAAGTGGTTAATGTGGAATCACGACAGTTTCCTGTAACAGTTCACTTCGAGAAACGTACACCGGACGATTATATGATGGCTACTTTTAGAAAGGTGCTTTTTTTCTTCAAATTATTTGTTGTGTTTTGTCCTCAAAAGTGTTCTCACTTCCACTTCTCTGTTCTTTTCATTTGGAGACGATTGACTTTCCGTTTGTCGCAATGCAGCTGTTGGCTGGGGGCACATTCTGCGCGTGCTGGCGTCGTTCAGCGCTGTTGCTCTGCCTCATCTTTAGTGCGTTTTTCTGCCCATTGCTTTCCGAGTTCATGCGTGGCAGAGTTGGAAGGGCATTGCAAGCGGGGGTTATGTCTAAGGCTAACCCCCAGATTCTCGTTATCCCCCGTCCCTTCTCTTGCCCAGCCTGGAAGGGGGCGCGCATCCGGAACATTGCAACTTCACATTTTGCCACTTGACGTGAAGCTATCGCATCCTTCCACTTCTTTTTCTATCTTCATGCTGCTTTGGCCTTTTCTATCTAGTTTGTGCTTGTCTGCAATAGTAGATATTTTTTTTTTCGATATTTGATTTTAACCGTTTTGCGGGTATTATGATGCATCGTATCTCCTCATTCATTCATTGTTTGAAGGTGTGCCGAATACATGAAGCTCTCCCTGAGGGTGGCATCCTAGTATTTGTCAGCGGTCAACAAGAAGTTCGGCATTTAGTGAAGAAACTCATCGATAGATATACGGTACGTAGTACAGTTTTCATTATTGCCATTGGCAACCAGTGGTTAAGAAGTTTTGGCACTAACTTAGCTCAGAAGGGGGACGTAGTGCGGTAGCGCATTCTTTCCAGCCATGGTACTGCATCGTTGGGAGGACCCCAGCCTTTGAAAGCAGTTAAGAAAGGGAAGATTTTTACAAAATGAAGTAGGTTGGAATCGAAAGAATTTGGCACGATGGGAGGAGCATGAAATACGGGGGTTTGTACCAGAGGACGAAATTTCAGGCAGGGATCGCATTGTCACCGCCATTCTCCCCATCCCGATGCTGTACCCTGTCTTCATGGTTTATGTTTAGTCTATGCAGAGCGCACATAGACACTCCATATAACCAGAATCATCGCTCTGCAGTGTTGCGTGCCCCCCCCCCCTCCCCTGCCCACCCACTAACTATGTTGGCGTCGAAACTTCCACAAACGAAGACAGATTGTTTATTTCTTTTATCTATTCACCGTTATGTTGACTACAATTTATTGCTTTGCTATGCGTTCCACTTACTTTTTATTTGTGGACGTATAATGTCCGCGTGTAAACAGTACACGAAACAGTGTACAGTCTTGTTCGCTGGGGACAAAGGGGTGTGTCAGGCAGGATCAGTTTCGCCGCGCCCTGTTCCGATCCTGCTTACGGCAAGCGTCGTATCATATCGTTCGATGATTCGTTTTCCACCAGTTTCGCTTACCCGCTGGTGGAGAACGTGTTTGGCGCCGCGCCAAACCCATCCCGCCGGGCACGCCCCTTTATCCACAGCAACGAACACTGTAGTAGGAAGGTAATATTCAGATGTGTCCTAAAAAGTCGATATTTTGAAATTTTCAGATACAGTATGACTCTAGCAAAGACGGCCACATATATGTACGAGGTAGTAAGAAGTGGAAAAAGAAACAACTGGAAGAAGCACAGAATTTGAAACTCGAGGACTTTAGTGAAGATGTAAGGATCCACCTCTTTATTTTCCCGCTATTAATATTCTTCATGCAAGTTTTTGTTATAAATGGTAAGTAGTGTTGGCGATTTCAATTCAAAGCGGCACTCAACTTTTTGATGATGAAGATCTGCACGCGAAGCGGGGTGCCTTGCGATATCGTTATGGGAACGATTACTAGAGGAAGGCGGATCAAGAAGATTCCATGTATGCTGAGTTCAGACGAAAATTGAGCTTGGAATTTTCATTCGTTTCTATGACTCTTGTGAAATAGCATTTTTTCAAGCATTCAATACAATCGTTCTTTATAATGCGCATTTTCCTTCTAGCCTACTTATGTTTCTAGGGACCTTCCGATGCCGCGCTCCCGTACTGCGTCTTGGTAAACGCGCTTTATTGTTTACCGTTTTAATCCTTGTTATCTCTCACAAAAACCACGTCGGTATTCTGAACTAACACTCCTAAGGCACGAGGTTCTGATTGAGACTTACTGGTGTGGTACGGAGGGTCCGTGTGCAGTGGCGCAAAAAGTAACAGTCAATTTCAAATTGTACAGCACTCCTGAATCGGAACCAATTAGATCCTGGAGTGAATGCCCGCGCGTGCACAGCTTGCAACGCCGCTTTCGCCATGTCACTGCAACGTGCATTCCGTACCTTAGCAGGTTATAAGTGTTCTCGTAATTTTGATATCATTTTTATAGAATGTGTGTAATTGCAACGAATGTTGCTGAAACATCGTTAACTATTCCTGGCGTGAAATATGTGGTGGACTGCGGGTTCGAGAAACGTAGGTAAGAAATTTGCTGATACGTACATGTTCTCGAAGTTTATTAGCTGAAAAAGCATCAATACTTTGATCACTTCCAGTTGCAGCAGGAACCTTTTGCTAAACAGTGAATTTTTCTTTTTCAGAAAAAGTTTCTAGTCGTCTAAGTTGGTCCATAGATTTTTTAACCTAGAAAATCCCATTTATTTGTGGCATAGTTCAGCAGGGCCCTACCGTTGATTGAAATTTTTGCAAAATAAGATCCCACCTCAAAATTCCCTCCTTTGGTACGACCCTCATCCCCATTTACCTACCCATCTTCCTCATTTCCCCTTTTTCCAACCGCTATTCTGGAGTTTTTCCAAGAATCCTTCCCTATTCACCAAAAAACTGGCCGTCGAGCATTGAGTACAGCTCACGTATAACGAAATGACCGAGAAAAGTTAACAAGTGGAATGGTGCACAAGTTCGTAGTCTACGACTTTGTACTTCTGTGCTCGAGTTGGTCAACAACACTATTTATTGCCAAGCAAGGAACAGTCAATAACAACAAACAAAACACAGATCACACAGCTCTGGGTTGCCAAGTGTCTACCTTGGCACTAATCTGCAACGCAAAACGAAGTGACAGACTCACCGAGGGTTGATCCGATCCGGGAGGCAACCTACTGGGGCGAGGGCACGCGATCAACTGAACTCATGACTACCGACTCCATGACTTGATAAGACATCATATCGTTCTTAAGATAAGACAACC